AGGAAAGAGAAGCAAAGTCTGCATCAGACAGGCAGTGCCTTTGGAGACAGGGGTGTTCACATCATCAAAAGCCCGGAGATGGTTCTCAGGGAGGCAGTGGCTGGCGGCACATGACAGACAGACAGACGGATGGACGAGTGACGGCTGGCGTCACACACACGAGGCCTGTGTGAGACGGTCCCCTGGGCACTAGTGTGTGAGCCCGCTGATCACGGGCAAAAGCTCTACTGGTCTCCCTCCCTCCCTCTCTTCGTTGCTTTTACAGTTTTACCTTTATTAGTACAAGTTTGGGGGTACGTAATGACTCCATTCCTTGTGTGGAGTCGGCACCTGTACATCACGCATCCCAGTTATCTCCCTTCCCTCTCCCTCGGGCTCTTGGCCACTTCCCTTTTGCGGAAGATCCTCTCCCTCTTTCCTATCATTCATCCTTTATTTTGCTTGTTCATTTACTTATACTTTGGGTTTCTCATATATGATATTTAAGCTTGTCCGTCTGATTTATTTTACTTAACATCACAGTCTCAAGGTGCATCTGTTTTTCTACAAATGACTCAAGTTTGTCCTTCTTTGCGGCAGAGTGGTGCTCCATTGTGTGTAAATACTACATGTCTCTTCTAGAGAAAGAATCTTGCTTGGGAGATTCCCCGGTGGCTTGATTACAGTGAGGGAGCTGTTTGGCAGAGCTGTTCAGCAGCCATTCTGACCTGGCACCCTCGACGTAGTCGGGCTGTCCTAATGCAGCCTGAAGAAAGAAAATATTGCACCTCTGCTTACAGTTACCAGGCTCAGCAGTGGCAGGAAGAAGCACCACCATGAACTGCAGGCTTGCACCTGCGGGGTTCAAAGCACGGAGATGGGATAGAGCATCACACGGGCCAGACGTGTGTATTGTGAGCACTACTTAAAAACATGTTCACATGTGATAACTGCTTTTTGGCAAGGCTCTGTAAATGTGTCTACCACGTGTTTTTCAGTGTAAGAAAATCCTCATCACCAGGCACACACACAGTTCTCCCTGAGAAAGCAGAGCTCTGTGGTTTTTCCTGCTCTCTGCACAGCAAACAGATTGTCCAGGATCCTGGGGTCACGTGAGAGCCCTTGTTCTTGGGGTGTGTACCCCAGAACAAAGAAGCGGAGTGTAGCTGGTGGCGGAGGTGGTAAGACTGGGAGGGGAATGCTCAAGGGGGCTGGAGACACACCGAAGGGCTACGAGGCCCTGGGTCCAATCCTCCACACCGCTAATAAAGACACGAGTAAGCAAACACAAACAAGTGCCACTGACTGCCCCGTGTGTTCAGGCCTGCACTCCTGAGAGGTCTGATTTTCTCAATGAAAACAAGAGGCTTTTTTTCAAATTACAACTTTTTAAATCTCAACTAGATTTCAATCTCAAGACGAAATATTATTAAAGTTAATGATTCATAGAAAATGTTTTAGTACCAATCTAAAGATGTAGGAAAAGCAGGCATTCATTCAGACCCTGAGTATTCCTAAAAAGAGCAAAGGGATTTGAGAAGAGATGAGATCATAGTACAGAGATTTTCTTTTTTCCATTTTAGTTCAGTCAGTTGGAATTTTGTGTCTCACAGTCGTACAAATGTGTGTGTAATTACGTGAAAATTTCACACAGGAGTTCAGATACAATTACGTGAAAACCCTTCACGTTTCTAGGCTCCCGCTCGAGTCCCTGGCTTTCACCATGGCTTGGGAGGCCCCCATGCCCGGCTGGTACTCAGGCTTTGCGCTGGCAGAGAGCAGAGGTAGGGGCCTGCCAGGCACACGAACTCCTGACGTCTCTGTCCCTCGGAGAAGCGATGCTAGGCCAGGCCACGGTCACCCTGCCCTGCCTGGCCACGGGGCCCTCCTACACCCAGAGCTGGCAGCGCTCCTGCTGAGGGCCCTGCAAAGTGAGGAACAGAGAGGCGCCCTGGCCAGGGAGCCCGGGATGGGAGGAAAACGAGTACAGGACACGGTCCGACTTGGGAGCGCTTGGGGCTTGTGTTCACTTGACCAAAACCCACGGACACAACGCTGACGATGTACAGTGCTGACTACAGCACGAAGGCAACGGTTTCCTCAAAGCCATGAAGACCTCAGACTGATTTCTGTGAGTGGCAGGGAACCCGCAGGGCCTGATGGAATGGCCCACCTGCTCTGTGCTTCCTCGCCCACCGGGTCCGGACTTGAGCCAATGCCCGTTTGGCCCTTTCCTTCTCTGTTGCCTAAAACTTAACTTCACCAGTGCTAAGCCAATTGCAGTTCCCTCAGCCTGTCCTCCTGTTCTACACACGGATGGCTTTTCACAGACATTTTCTCTGCGGAGAGTTTCCTTACCCTCTGGGAGAGCCTTCTCAGCCCAGCTGGAGCGCCATTCCCCCGTCCCTGTTTTTCCTCTGTCACATCCTTAACTCGTAGGCTGTGGTGCTCATGTACTCAGGAACGCGTCACACTTACTGCCTCACAACTCTTGCTCCCTACCAGACTTGATCGGCCCTCAAGGCCAGAGCCAGGCTTATGCTTTTCATCTTGGTATTTCCTTGGAGTCCGCAACACATTGGTACCCAATGTCTGTGCTGCTGAACAGAAATTCAAGAGTGGAAGATGGTTCTCCACATCTTCCCCTCAGCTGTGACCGCCCTGTGGCAGCCCGGCCCGGGATGGCCCTGATACATCAGGCCCATGGGTGATTAGCTTTTGCCAGGGGGAAATTGTGACTCCAGATTTGAAAAGCCCCCTAAGTCCTTACTCTGAGGAAGGAACAGAAGAGGAAACATTGCTACTGGGGCTGAAAACCAAAATTCTTTTACAAATGTAGCTGAGTTTGTTGACATGCTCTGGAGGTTTCATGTTTGAAAATATGTAGCGGCAGTGTGGCAGGGTATTAAATTCTGCGGGGAAAAAGCCACAGAGCCAATATCCCAAACATGGCCCATTAATTTCTTCTTTTACACACTAACTGCATAGCTTGAGAACATATTTTAAAAATCTTGTTTTAAACCATGAAACTATTTTCCAGTTCCGCATGCCAGCCGGCTGTCCTACTCATGACTCCAGCCCATCATTGTGAGCAGTCTTTTCCACTACTTAACTGCATCCAGTATCATTTCCCTCCCGCTACTGCCTGATAGTATGGAGAACTGAAGCTCTAAAACTGCGCTCCTCAAGAAATATTACTGGACAGGAGTGGCCAGACCCTTTTACAGAGCTTAAAAGCTTAAGCTGTAATAATATAATGTTGGCTTTCCTTCCTGAAATAATCTAAGGAAGAACTGAAAGGAAATGAAACTAAAATCCGACAGGCTCATATAATTAGGGCAGAGCTAAGGAAAAAAGGATTCTGAGTACCAGAAGAGATCTAAAATAAATAAAAAGCAATACATTTGAGATATCGCTATTTGACCCAGACAGTTGGTCCGAAGTTAGGTAAAGTGGAGGTCGCTGAGGAATCCTGGTTTCATGGAGGAAACCGGGAAAACAGTTTTCTGGGGAAACTCGGCCACGTTCAGCCGCTACAGGGTGAGACCGAAGGGAACACGGACCCCTGCTAGCTTAGACACAGAGCGCCCGAATGGAACCGTGTTGGTGGTCAGAATGATGAGACTGAGCATCGGAAGGCTTCATCCTCAGCAAGGCTGGTCTATGCTAAAAGAAGGGGCATGACTATGCCTCCCCATTGATAACCACGGAAAAGGGGAGGCCACGGGTCCAAGTTGGTTACCGAGCGACAGGTCCACGTCCGCCAGGCTGTCGTAGGTCTAGCATTTAAAGCCACGGAGAGTTGCCACGTGTGCTGGAGAATTTCAGACTTGAAAGGAGTAAGGTGAGTTCTCCATCTCACACACGACTCAGACAGAGTCCCCGCTGCCGGTGTTACAGAATTCAACATGGTGGTCAGTTGCTCAAAGGGGAATGGTCCAATATGAACAGTGGAAATGAAAGCAACTTGCCTTGCTAGTGTGTTTGCTAGTTAAGTGTCTAGTAAATCCATAAAAATAACCACGTGTGCTAAGGTTTGCCTTTAACCTGTGTAATTTCATGTAATAAATCTTCAAGAGAAAATAAATCATATACGTCTCCCACCCTCTCCAGTGCCTTTGTTTCAACTATATTACTGTGCTTTTCCATTTCTAAAAGTTGATTTGTTTCTAGTATACAACTTATTTTGTGTCTGCTCAGAAGTAATGTCTTCTTTTCCCCTGAATCCATCTTTTATCATTCTTCTGAACAGTTTTCTGGTCACAGGTTCTCATTGACACCCATCTAAACTATGCCCAGGCCAATGTGCCTGTGCATGGAGGCACACACACACACACACACACACACTCACACACTCACGGGCATACTCAATGCTGCATTTTGCAGGAGGAAGTGCTCGCCATGTGTGAGTGTGGGGCACCGATACCTCTCCATGCCCTGCTTCTGCAGACCTCTCAGACCTTCACCGTGTTTATCATTTCATGGATTTAGTGATGACCTAATTCCCCTGTGGACACCAGCTCAGGACTTCCTGCTTTGTTGGTTTGTGTTGATCTGGCCCGAGACCAAATTGTTAGGCAGGGCAGCATGCCCCTGGAGTAGCCTGCTCTTTGCAGAGGACGCTTTTGGAGTATCTGTGGTGTGCCAGGTCCAAGTTTAGATGACAAAGGCGCAAGGCAGCTGCGCATCTTCTGTCCCCACCCCGCTGGGATGTGTAGACTGCTCCACACGGCGCTTCACTTCCACCCAGAACATCTGCATGGGTAACGCTTTAAACACTCCCCGTAAATGACAACACCCTCTTCTCCAAAGCACAAGGGTGTGAATTTACTTCGGAGCACATTTCTCACTATAAGATCCTTACAAAGGAGGAGATGGAAGTGTTAAGTGCTCTGATTTGACCATTACACAAACTATCACCCTGTACCCCATAATTATGTACAATTAAAATAATTATACTTATTTTATAATATCCTTATTATAAGAGGTTTAAAAGACATTGAAGACCATGGCAGGATTACCTGGCCAAAACAATTCGCTTTGCAGCTTTGCTCTGGCCTGCTGGGAAAAGCATCTTTTCTTCAGCCAGTCAGCTTCAAATTCGCTGTAATGCTTGTGGGGCCACGTGATGTAAACCTGGTGACACAGAAGAAGAAGTCACCTCCTGTGCTGCCCGCTTCTGCATCTCCTGCTCTCCACTGTTACCATTCTGGATGCTATTTAAGGTGACTCAGGAATCCAACTGCCCTTACTTTCTGTTTCTTTTCCCACAAGCCAAGTGGGCGCATCTGAAGTCTATGGCTGCTAAAGTAAAATTGCAAAGATAGAACTTGGCTGGGCCTGAGATTCTTGTTCTGTATCCTCTAAGCTGGTGGCCCCCACACTTCCTGTGATAAATGAAATTGGATATCAGTTAAGATTCCTGTCACGAGTATTAGAGATAGTGACAGTCACAATGAGAAGACATCATAATGACAATGATCATAATAATAATGATGAAAGGAATGGCATTGTTTTGAGTGCTTACGATACAACACGCAGCAGACACATGACTCGTTTGGTCCTCAGTAACTCATGGGAGAAGGACGACTACTGGCAGTAAGACATAGGTGTAGTGTCCTTTGAGATGAAGACCAAACAGTGGGAACAGGACGGCCCTTCTGGTGACATTTTTCTCCTGACAAGAATCCAGGGGAATTTGGAAGCTAGTGGGCACATTTGGTTTGGTTTCAAGAACTATGCTTCCAGGCCACACATACACATCTACCCACTAATTTGATCAAGATATAATTCAGCACTACTTATTGTGTGATCATTGCATCCCAGGGATCTTGATAAACACTATGACAAACTCTTCGATGCGTCTTATCCAATCCCGACATCCCTACGCAAAAACTCTGTAGTGTCCCTGCTCGATAGGTGAATAAATGGAGTCCCAGTAGCACTGTTTTTGTCATAGAAATAGTTGGATTTTTCTCTTATGGCTGCCACTGACTAACATAATAAGGAGCACACTGCATATTTTATTAGAAAATGGAAGTAGTAATAACAGCAGAGGCGCCTGTTTGGTGAGTACGCTGACCTAGTGCAGAGCACCACAAAAACCGTTACCTCCACGCTCACGTGTAGGACTCAGTGGAAAGATAGCTATTGAAATTACTGCAGACCAGCTCCTTTATTTAACTTGAAAGTGCGGGAGGAGATTGTTTGGAGGAAAATTACCTTCTTTCTGTCAAATGTCAGGCCTTTAATGGTGATGTTCACATCAAGAGCTTCCAGGAGAAGTTTCCGGGCTTTTGCAGAATCCAAGTAGCAGTCGGAGCACTGGCAGTTGTCCCTCAGCCACACAGCTGGGTATAGCGACTTCCCTCCCTCGTCCCAGATGACCTGCAGCAGATGAGCCCCGTCCAGGGCTTCGGCCTTTTGGATGATACAATCCATGTGTCCAATCTCAGGAGGCAGGGCCCGGTGGTTCCCTGGGAGACAAATCAAGGTCAGAAGGAATGGGCGCATGGGCTCTGAGCCTGACCCCTGTGAGTGTGGATGGCTCCTGTGGACTCTGGTCTGCGCTGTTTGCTTAGCTGCACGAGGCTGCAGTTTGGTTATCAACGCTGAGACCTTTGCTCTGATGACACCATTTTATCTGCTGTCCACAGAAACACAGTTACTAAAAGTAAATAAGAAACATGCCTGGTCAGGGGCCTGATGAAAAGAATGCTTTGATTTTCTCACAGAAACTTTAGAGAATAGCTCAGAACTGATGACATGCACTGTCTTAATTGTGTTTGTGTAAAACTCCATGAATATGAAAGTGTAGCAACCGTGCCTCTCCTTCTTTAACGGGTGCCATTGGCACATGGCTTTTGAGATTAAAATGCTTCTGTGGCACTAAATTAGCAAACATGTTTGATGAAAGGAAGATGAATGCAGTTTATGTATTTTAAGGACTCCAACTCATAACATGGTGCTATCTTTGCTCTATCATTTGCTTTTGTAATTGCTGTAGTACATTTTCTCAATGAAATATAAAAAGACCTGGCTTCTGCGGGGAACTTGTTTTGTTTTCTGAGATTTTCTGTCTTAGTACACATCAATTGGGTGTGAGTGTGCTTTGATATTGTTTCATTTATTTTGAATTTTTTTTGGGGGGGGTACTGGAGATTTAACCCAGGACCTTAAGCTACATCCTCATCCTTTTTTATTTTTTATTTCTGAGACAGGGATCTTGCTAAGTTGCTAAATTACCCAGGCTGGGCTCAAACTTGTGTTCCTCCTGCCTCGGCCTCTCAGAGTGCCAGGATTACTGTGTGTGCGTCTAGGATCTGCAGCAGGCACCAGGGGCCTCACTGAAGCAAGACAAAATTTCTCATGCTTTCCTTGAGCTTGTAGGAAGACTATGCAACATTAAAGATACTTTACACAACATTAAAGTCAATGAACTTATAGGTGATTGTTTCACATACACATCTCTAAATCCCTGGCTTGGGTGGTTAGCCAGGTTATGGAGCAGTCAAGACAAGAAAGATTTCTTTTTCCCTTTAACTTCAAATGCTCTGGAAGTATCTAGAGACAAAACAGGAGAAATATAACTCATGGGCATTGCATGAATTCCTATTTGGGATCTTTCATCCCAAATCTGCATAGCGACAGGAGAAAACTCCTACTTAAAAATCATGAAAAATTATAATTTAGTTCAAAGCTCAGTATTTATCTGAAGAGTGTGAGTAAGAAGTCAGAGGTAAGACTCATTTCTCTCCATGGAATGGGTAGGGTATTTGTTTTTCTGGGTGGAACAGAGGCAGCTTGGCAAATCTTCTTATATGGCATAGGAGGACAAAAATAAGGATGACAAATTTTTATCTATGCCAAGGTTTGCCAGATATTTTCTGTAAAAGGTCAGACAGTATGTCTCTCAGGGTTTGTAAGGTACACACAGTTTCTGGTGCATATTCTTGTGTCATTTTTCAAGTTCCATAAGGATGTCAGAACTATTCTGGCTTACAGAGGGCTCAGAAAGTCTGCGGGTCACACTTGGCCATGAGCAGTAGTTTGCCTGTCCCTGATGAAGTATCCAAATCATACTTTCACTGCAGTAGGACACAAACATGCAGAAAAGTGAAAAGAGTTCTCTTTCCGTCCCTTATATAAAAGTTAAACTGAGCATTCAATATGACAGCAACATTCTTTGTGCATGTTGCACTACATGGTACCACGAAGTTCTGATCTTAAGGACAAATGAGATGATATCAGGTAAAAAAAATAGGTTAGGGACAAACTGTTTCATCTGAGAATCTCAGGGCACTTTCTTAGAGAAGGTGACTGACAAACTCTTTTAGGATCCATGATCACCATTCCTTCCTCACTAATATAACATGGATTTCTTCATAGCATGCAACTAATAGATACAGCAACACCTCAGTACATGAACGAACAATTCGGTTCTCAAATGGAAACATTTGGTGAAAATTTTGCTTCTATATGCAAACTCTGCATTGGGTGATGAATCCTAATGATGTATCTTCCCCAGAATCTTGAAATGAACTGAGTTTGTGAACCGAGGCACCACTGTAGCTACATTGTCCAGCTTCCCCTGTAGCTAAGATTAGTGTGTGATGTAATTCTGACAAAGGAAATAATTTCGAAGTTAGTTGGTAGAGAAATTTTTTAAAAGGAGGTAGATTTACCTGCCATGTCTTGTTTCCCTTATTCCCTTCCTCTACCTCCTTTCTGGGGATGTGGTACTGAGAGTGGAGCAGTCATTTTGCAATCCTGAAGCAACAAGAAATCTAAAATCTGAAAGGAGGGAGGGTTCCACATGGGTCTATGAAATCACATTACCAGCGATGGATAGTCATGTCTAGACTTCTTCTCACATGAGAAAACAAATTCCTTAATTATTTAAAATCTAAATTTGACAGATCTGTACCAAGAGAACAGTTCCTACAGTCTAATAAAGGTAATAAAGAAATGCAGTACAGAAGCAATTGTTCATATAGGCAGTCAGATAAGATGTAGAGATGTTTACTAGGAAGGCAGTTATACGAGTTTTCTTAATACAAGGTTTTCCAGTGGGTGGCAAACAGACAGGTACATAGAAAAGATTCAGGTTTCACAGCAAATAAATGTTAGCATAGGTGATAACAAGTTCCCAGATAAAGTACAAAGGAAAAGAAAGTAACGTTTATCTGTCTGTCTGTCTGTTTATTATCTCATCTGTATCTATACCTATATCTATGCATATCTTATTTTGCTGATTTCATTATCCTTTTTGGTACTTCACATGATTTTTCATTCTGAAACCTGATCTATTTATAAGCTGAAGGGTACTTATTTGCTAAAATTACCTTTCACAAACCAAAGACAAAAGATGCTTCACAATATCAATACACAAAAAATATGCACATATATGATACCTTTTAAAATCTGGCCTGGTTTTTCTAAACTATATAGGATTCATTCATCCCACAATAATAATAATTGGTTATTTTAGACTATAACAATGTATCCTTTTTAGTCTCTTTCTTATATAAGAGAAATATATTCAGTTTTTCTGACTGTTCTTCACAAAATATGACCTCTACACATTTCACACATTTCTACACATTTAAGAATGCTCTATCTTGGTTACCCCAAAGACCCCAGCAGCAAGTCCACCTATGTACTGGGTAGTCAGCCCACTTAAACTCTCTGCATGGGGTGACTAGCAAAGGAGTTTCCTGGCTGAAGCCAGTGTATAAATAGTTAAAGAAGGATTTACCACTTCCAATGCACAAACACAAAGACAAGGGCACCAGTATCATGAATAATAAAGAGATCATGACAGCATCACAATACAGTTACTGTCTGTAAAGGAATGGAGGTGTACAAAGTAACTGACATAAAATTGAAATTAATTACCTTCCAGAAACTTAGGGAGCTCCAGAACAATAACAGACATAGGTAAATGATATCAGGAAAATGTGAATAAAATGAGAAATTCAGTGAAGAGATAGAAACCACAAATAGAACCAAGGAGAAATTCCAGAGCTGAGGAACATAACTGGCCTAAACATTTCCACAGAGAGTTTCAAAGCAGACACGAGCAAACCAAAGAAAGAATCTGTGAGCTTGAAATAACTAGTCAGAGGAACAAAAATAAAAGAGAATAGAAGAGAGTACAGAAATCCTATGTACCCTATGGGCCACCATTGAGTGAACTAACACAAACATTGGAATTCAAAAGAAGTAGAGAAAACTTCTTTAAAGACATTCTGACAGAAAATAACAGAGAGAAATACATGCCTAGATCTAGGAAAACCGAAGAATCTCAACTAAATTAAACATAATGGACTGAAATACATTATAACAAAACTGTCAAAGTTAAAAGCAGCATGAGATGTAACTCCTCACATACAAGGGAACCCCTGAAAATCTACCAGCAGATTTCTCAGCGGAAACCTGATAGACTGGGGTGGGTGCTCTCTTCAGTGTGGAGAGAAACTGCTAACCAAGAATATTTTACCTGAAAAGTTACTGTCCTTCAGAAATGAGAGATTAAAACTTTCCCAGACAGGGCTGGAAATTTAGCTCAGTGGTTCTGCCACCTGCCTTACAAGCACAAGGTCCTGAGTTCAATCCTTGGTACCAAAAACAAAAAGACAACTTTCCCAGACAAACAAAATCCATGTGTGTTTATCATGACTTGATCTGCTTATAAGACATGCTGAAGAGAGCTCTTCAAGTTCAAGCAAAAGAACACTCACAGTGTGAAAACATAAGAAAGTCACTGTGATAGCTGAGTGTGAAGGCCCTAGGTTCAGCCCCCAGTACTACAAAGAAGCAAAAAAAAAAAAATCATAAAATGTGGAGGCAGGAGAAGCTAAAATGCAGATTTTTATATGTGGCTGAAGTTAATATATTAGTAGTTTAAATAGATTTTTAATAACTATGAGATGTTTTATGTAAGCATCATAATAACCACTGTACACCCACAAAAATTCTACAGCAGATTTACTACAGATAAAGGGACATAAAAGCATGGCAATACAAAAAATGATCAAATCACAAAAGATGTTAGTAAGAGAGGGAGAATAGAACAAAGGAAATACAAAACAGAAAATAACAAAATGGCAAAAGTAAGTCTTTGACCTATCCATATTTATTTTATATGGAAATCCATTAAATCTTCCAAGGAAATGACTGAATTAGTTGAATGGGTGAAAAAAGAAGATCCAACTGCATTTTCCTAGCAGACATTCACTTAGTTTAAAGACCACACATTGCCTGAATGTAAGGGAAGGAAAAGTAAAGCAAGAAAATGTAAAAGAAATTATGCAAACAGTAACCCAAAAAGAGCAGGGGTAACTATGTGTATCAGACAAAAGAAACTTAAAACTAAAAAGTTCATTATGTAATGATAAAGTGGCCAGTTCATCAAGAGCAGTAACAGAGACAAATATGTGGGTATTTATACATGGACACATGGATGCTCTGTGTG